GTTAGTCTGTATAGGGTTCGTTTCCCTACTTCTTTTAGTGTTAAATAATAACTAGCATTAGTTAATAGTTTTCAAATAGTTTTCAAACTTCCTGATGCATAATTTATAGAAATTCTTTTAGAAATTTCTCTGTGTGGAAATACATGCCTCAACTTCTATTGTATAAATTTTTTGATGCAAGAATGCATGTTTTTGCTTCTATCTAACCTTTCTAACATTTGAGTTTTAGAGAAGAGGTGAAAAAAAAAACATATAAAAGGGCAGTATCTTGAATTTATTGTTATTTGTCGCTTAGGCCAGACCAATTTGATTCTCTGTTTAACATAATCCCCCCCTCTATTTTTTAAAATTTTGTATGTAAAAAAAACACAATTTTGACCAATCAAATTGTAGTATTAACTTTTTGTATTTTTACATTTTTTACAGCCAATAGAATTGCTATATTTTTTTATTTTTGTTTTTTTTAATGCCCTCCCCCACTCTCATAAGCGACCTTTATGTTATGTTAAACAGAAAATTAAATTGGAGTGGCCTTACTAGTGATTGTTTCTTGCATTATTTTTTGCGTCAAACTATAAATTAATAACCCATTTTACCATGTCCAATTCTACCTTGTATAAAACTATTTATAATTTTTTACTTGAGTCACCACCAGCACATATCACAGCATTTTCTGTTATTTATCAATTAATAGAGAATGATACATAGCATTTAAAAGATAATTTAAGACCAGCGGTTCACCAGGCAGTTACAGAGCTAAAAGGCGGTTATGATAAGAACTCAGAAAAGTATCAAAAACTTGATGAAATCTCTTTGAAGGTTAGTAATTAACCTATTATCATGTTTTAACACCAACTGATGATTGCGCAAAATAACATATAGTCAATCTAAGCAAACACCCATGAGCCTTCTGGGCACAGGGTTAATCAAATTTATTAATTCCTCAGACACAAGGGGGGTGGGATCTTAGTTTACACCATTCATATATATTGTCAATTGTATGCTAGCCACATATGGTTGACAATTTTACGAAGTATTCTGATGGGTGTGCGCACACTATTATTATACTACAAGTTTATCTGTACATACTAACATAAGGTTTTTATACTAGTTCGATAATGCATATGAAGGTGTATGCAGTCTTAGGAATATCAGAAAATCAAAACAAGAAGACGAACTCACTCCAAATGAAATCGAGACGAACTTGCGATCATTAAAAACTAATCTTGCAAGTAGCAAAGCTCCATATGCACAACATTTTCGGAAGTATTTAAAGAAAAAGAAGAATACCTCAAACCTATCATGGAAAGTCCCACTTGCAAGTCAAGTAATTTGTGCAGATTCAGAAATGGTGAAATTATTAGAAGAAGATGTAGAAGCATACAACTTTTTTATGGTAAGAAATTTTAGAGCCTTATCTAGTTCCGCTAATATATTTGCTATATTATCAAACTAGAATTAATGTAGCTATTATTTTGAACCCAATAGGACCCCGTGGAACGTATGAAAGTAGCAACTCCTCCCGTTATAAAAAATAAGTGCGATGAGTTTGTTATTAACTTCATGGCAGCATTATGGATATTCCAGATAACAGATTTTCGCACGATAAGAGCTGGAAGGAATCTGATGAAAATCTCGCAAAAGTTACTACAGACATCCTTGAAATATTGTGAGTATTTAAAAATAATTTGCAAATTCAGTTTGAAAATGTTTTTAATAATATTCTTTTATAGAAGGGATGTCTGGAAAAATCCAGCTTTCGGACAGAAGTTAGCCAAATCGCAAAGTGAAGGCACCTACATGACCGATGTGATTGTTTCATTGATTCGTGCATCATTAAAAGACCTTCCAATTGGAAAGTCTGGCTACATTAGCACAACAGAACGACAAAGTATAACTAGTAAAGACTGAAGAGAGATTGGAAAGCGACCAGATCTTATGTTTATCGCCAGTTGCAATAATAGGTCGTATGAACTAATATTTGTTGAGAGATCTCGTATCATTTGCGATGATCAAAAAAAGAATTATGATGAGGTGAAATTATGGAGGGAGATGAATGATGGTATGTATTGGGCTCACAAAGGATGTAAACCAGACAAAGATAACTTTGGTATCATTGGAATTCAAGTTAGAGGAACCGAAATGCGCTTAAATACTCTTGTTCGGGCGTGGACGAAATAGATAGACTCTATAATTCATTTACAGTTGAGATTCCAATACAACCAACGGATGAAGATATAGTTTTTAGATTTGTGGAAGCATTATTGGCATTACGGGTATGATATCCCACTCAAATTCGTAGATTTTCTTAAGTTTGACAAGTAATTTATAAATTATATAGAATATCCTGCACGTCAATATATCTCTTGCCGAAAATGCTTTAATTTAAGTACACATCTATGCCCCATTGGTCCAGAAACTCTCAAATAGGGAGCCAGAAAGTTCAACATGCTCTATGGGATCGAATGCCAGATCAGACAAAAACTCTTAGACACAGGGAACCCAGAAAGCCCCACGTGCCCTAGCGTCGGTTTTGTGACTCGGCCAGAACCTCACTTACTATTCTATAACCGTCAAGGAGCACCTTGTTCACAATTAATGATATTCTTGAGAAATTAAAGCAAAAGCCCTTATGTGCATTCAAAACCCCAAGATACTCCAACTGGAAGGATCACCGTTGAAGTATTTATGTATTTATTGAATTTTAATTTCTGGCTTAATCACAAGGAACTGTTTCGTTCTTTTGTAGTATATATGAACGCCGCCAAGGGAAACCTGTCATTGGGATTTCAATTATATTTTGTGCTGGACAAAATCTCCTTTAAATCAGACAGATTGAGTCCGGTAAGCGATAAACTTGAAATCCCGATGACAAGTTTCTTTGGAGGCACTCATATAATGCGATAGAAACCACGATCAAAATGACCAACCAATCAAAATATTTTTAGCACATGGATAACGGTTTTTGCATAGTATTATTATAACAACGACTAGCCCGCATATACATTTTGACTCTCTTTAAGCTCTTCAATAAATTTTATAAGCGGCTTAGCTGGTCCAAATGCGAACTCAATACCACGGAAGTCCTCTATTGTCATATCTAGAAAAGCATATCTAGAAATCTTTTCCTTCTGTGAAAATCTTGAAATGTATTTCTTTAAGATCTAATTTGCTTCTTTTACGAATATTTGACAATTTCCTCCGTCTTGTAATTTTTAAAAGTCTTCGAGCTATCATGGTTATAACCGGTCAATAGCCGGTTATGATCGGTCGGTTATCGTTATAGCCAACCGATCACTATTAACATATTAAACGTATGTATCATGAGACAATAGATAAATTATGCCTGTAACGTCGAAAAACATGGTCTAATAAGAAAGTAGAGATTGGATCCCTTATGGCTATTCAGTAAATATTCGCGGGTTTTGATGTTTACGAATAGCATTGAATGAATATCCGGATTTTGAATGGATATCCATCTATTATTGTAACCATGAATATTCACGCGCAAATATTCATGAATATAAACGAATCAATTATATCAATTACAAACCCTTGACTATCCATGAATTTTGTGAAACCGAATATTGGATATTCAATGAATATCTATTTCAAACCGTGAATATTCATGGATCCAACCTCTGTAAGAAAGTGAATACACTTTTTACTTGCTAATTATTTGGCCTGTTATTTTAACAAGTTATACATTATAAGGTATATTATTTAAGTTACGTAATGCGAGAATAAATATGATTAAGTATATGCGATAGCGTATTCGAATATTAAAACTAATTTTTCGCATAATTAATAGAGCCTAATCTGCGCATAAATGTCCGCATTGAAAGATAGAGTAATGTTGGAACATTTGGGATATTAGACATGGTCGGAGATTTTTGGGAGGTATAGTAATTTACCCGGTAAGTTTAAATTACGATAAAAATTGCGGTAAATTTATACAACCTTGGTGATCGCATATTTCTACTTGATTCACATAAACAACAGCATAAATCTAAAAAATTTATCGCATAAATCGAATTGTAAGTAGGTAGAATTTACAGCAGAAAATGAAGAGCCCTACGTTACGATTATGCATGACCTTATAGAATGATCTTTTTGCCAACTACACGTAAATTTACAGTTTCTAAGTTTGATCCGCTTTTACTATATTAAAATTATTTTAATTTCGGTCTTTATTTTATAAAAATAAATAATTTTTTCAATTGTCATTATTATAACGTTCTCTTTCGTGCATTAACTATGTATTTTAATTAACAGTGATACTTATTTGTTTACAATCTATAAGATTTTTAAAACTTATATATCTTAAGGTATATAATTGAATAAAAATTGAATCACATGATTTCTATCTATCTGCATTGTCAATTTATCGATTTTTAAAATCTAATTTTCTGGTAAATAAAATTTTAAAGCTAAAAATTAAGTAATTTCTTATAATAAAATTACTTTGCCTTTCCGGTTTTCTTACCCTTGATGAAATCATCATTTGCACAAAGCCCGGTGACATCACTTGGGATAATAGTTTTCTTAAATATCGAAGGTGTTTCAATTAGTTGCACAGCCATACCCATGCTAAAGTGCCATTGTATGTGACAATGGAAAAGCCAGACACCAGGGTTGTCTGCACAGTAGCGGATCACAGTCGTACTGTTGGAAGAAAGAAAAATTATTAGTTTGAAAATAAGTTCATCTTGAATAAATACAAAGCAAGCACGTACCTAATTGGTAGAACAGTGACTACATCACGAATGGCAGGATTTTCAGTATTAAATTCTGATTTTTGTGGCGATTTAAGACCAGTATTATTTTCTCCATTATAAAGAATGTAAAAGTCATGTCCGTGCTATATTTTAAACCAAAAATTTACAAACATGCCTTTTAAAAAGAACAGAAAAAAAAAAGCAAAGATTAATTGACAATACCAAGTGGAACGGATGAGAATCCGTAGTATTGTTAATGACATGAATTTCAACGCCATCATCATTGCAATTTTCAGAGTTACTTTCATACGTATAAGGATTATCATTACTTGAAAGTTCATCCGGGCTTACACCGTCAACAATTTTTTGATTTGTTGGATAGTCATCGTTAGGTACCTAACAATGATAAATATATGTTGTAAAATTGGCATAAAATCCTTTGTAATATTTTGTAGTATATAAAGTAACTTACAAAGGTCGAATTGTTTACTAAGGCAATTGCTCTTCCACTCGCTGCAGCGCCAAAATTAACTATTGCCTTAAAAGTAGTAATAACAGTTTGAGGCATTTTATTATTATATGGCTTTAAACTATTTGGATTCACATCTCTACATGCTTCTGAAGTGTCCAAAGGAAAAGCTTCTGAAGTTGGAGGGTTATCTCCAGCTCCATCATATTTCAAAATTCCAGTAACATCATAATTTATTGCACTATCAAAGTTTATAGTTTTATTGTTAACAGGGTTGCAATTAGTAATATGTGCACGAATCTTATAATTATCTATTGGTTGATTAGCATCAAGAATTACTGAATATCGTTGTGCAATATTTATTGGAATAGAATTTAGAGTGATTGGCTCTTTTAGGAGGCCACTATCAGCTTCGATAATGGTGAGTGGGTGATTATCAATTGAAAATATGTAATGAACTAACGCGCTTGTATTAATAATTCTAAATCTATATTTTTTACCCTTTTGGACAACGTAAGTAGCAACTTCGTTATTCGAATTGCATGTTGAATTTTTGGGAGCAGCATTACAATCATACTGTCCAAAACCACTAATTTCACCAGAATCAGGAACGGGAGAGAATCCTGTATAGCTATCGTCACTAAATTGTTGCAAGAGAATACCGGTTGGAGTGTGATACCAATCAGATAAAGTCACAACGTATTCGTAATCATATGTTCCGCGGTAAGGATCTTTAGGATTATGAATTATAAAAGGGCCTTTGAGGCCATCAATCATTTGACTAAGGTGGTGAGCATGATACCAAAAAGTGCCTTAATGATTGTATAAATAAATTATTCTGTAAGCACGATCATAATAGAATGTCGGATAGATCATAATTATTTAAAGGAGATTTACCGAATTGTTCAAGAGTGAAATCGTATTTAAACGTAACTCTATTGGGGATCGGACATTGAGTTACTCCTACAGGCCCATCGTAATAGTTTGTGCCTTTCTGAAATAGACCGTGCCAATGAACTTTAAAAAAGAATATATATTAGATTATGGATCTATGGTAAATAAATTCCGTATCGCACTGACTAAAGGAACCTCTTTTTATGTACGTAAAACACTAGGGAACAAATTGCAGGAATTCCATTAGTCATAAACAGTCTGTCTCAAATAAAAAGCATATATGCTTTTTTTTTTTTTTTTTTTGAGATAAAGGTCTTTTTAATTAGTGCGACGCGGTAAATGTCGCGGATGATGCCTGATCAACCAATCAGATTAATTTAAATTTCAGCGTCATTCGCGACAAATAAATATATTATGTCAAATCAAATGATTATTTACTAGAGGTAGGGTCTCCAAAGTTATTGGTCACATTAAGTATAATTCTGTCACCCATGTTTGCTTGAAGTATTGGAGCTGGATATTGACCATTAACAGTCCACCTAAAATTTTATAAGAATAAAATAATGGGATCTTATACTTCATCCCACGAATTGAATCATCAAGAATAAATAATACTTACACAGGTCGAGTAAATCCATCAGGAGCCAAATCCTTTACTACTAATTCCAAATTATAACATCGAGTTACCGGCCCATCGGTTGAAGGTAAAGGCTCAAGAACTTCTAAGATATTCGAAGTAACAGGTGCACATTCATAAGATTCACTTCGACGATCTAACCAAGCTGAATTACTTGCGCTGATTAGTACAAGAAATGTGAATATAAGTTCAAATTTCATCTTTGCTTAAATGATTTTGGAACTTATTGTCTAGGAAAGAAATTTCACTCACTTTTTATAACTGTAAATTTTTATTGATCATATGATTATAACTGTCAGACCTTTCTAAATGCATTTAAAGAAATTTGCATTTATAAAAAAATCAAATATATACAGTCAAGCTCCTATTCTAATGCTAGAAATAGCTGAGCAATGATTTAGCGAGAGCATTACAACCAATCGGACATAGTACCCGAAAATTGATCGTAATTTTTCGTCCGGAATTGCTCAAATAATTGCGATTAATTTGGTAAAAATTAATTATGCAAAATGCAGATTTTAGTTAACGCTATATTCGAATTAAGCGATTTATTAAACTCTATCGCTATGAATCCCTGCATATTAGCTAATCGGAGCAACTTATACATTATTTATTCGAAATAGTAATACACTTGGTTAGTTTATTTAATTTCCGACTGATTAAAATTTTGTCTCGATTCATTGAGTAAGGTTGTTTACATTGTATATGGTCATCTACACTTCTGATACAAGGTAAACCATTATTATCTTCCAAATACAGTAGAAATCTTTTTTATTTATTCTTTTTGACAGTATGTTAGATCATTATAATTCTCAAAAATTTCTTTGTAAACTAGGTAAAGTTTTAATATTAGCTTGGATCAATCCGGATTAGTTATTCGTAATGTATAAATTATCCGAATTTGTATCCAAATTAAACAAATATCCGGATGTCTATATACCAAGAAGGTTCTCAAGCACCTCCCAAAATTTTAAATTAGTCGGAAATTGAATAAACTAACCAAGTGAATCACCATTTCGAAGATCATGGAGTTGCTCTAATTGGTTAAATTTAGAACTTACATATTGCGTTCTTCATTAACCACTCAACTAATTGAAACAATTTGTGCATATCTCGATCGCTAGCTAATTACATTGAAGAAGCTCGCTCTATTTAATTTGATTTATTTAAATTAATACTTTATAATGTTCTCGATTAATAGGTATTTCTATTATTAAAATATTAAAATTCCAAGATTTATTGCAAGTTAAATAATTGTTAAATTTAAATTAAAATTTAAACTAATAAAATTATTAAAATGAGTGTACGTATTAAATGGAGAATATGGATTAATTACAGAATTAATACATTTTTAACAAAATAAAATAAATAAATCTTAATAAGGTATATATATATAAAATAAATAAATCTTAATAAGGTATATTTGTGCACTTTTTATAATTAGAAATATGTCATAGCTTAAGCCGTAACAGTTTTTATTCCGGATAAGGATTTAAAAAGAATCTTGAGACCGATTTCTCTTCATACAATGTAGTATTTTATAACAACACGAATTGGGGTTGTTTTTTTGTTTACCTAGTAAGGAACTGCACAAACGATCAGGAGCATTTCTGCGAAATGACAGGAAAAATAAAAAGTATAGCATATTCATATATATATAATTGTCTGGATTTGGTTTGACCCAAAAATTAGCAAATCATGATTGAAAATTATTTGTTGTTACACGTCACTCTCGATATAACGTATACCTCGTGAGGAATTTTTTAAATCCGCTTTATCGTGAGTTTTATTAAAAAATCCATTATATCAAGTAGTATTTATTATGATGTGGATCTGAATCTTGATCCATTATATCGAGATTTTACTTAGTCTCCGTTATATCAAGAGTCTGTTATATCGAGAGTGACGTGTATATAAAATTTATTAGAGTTCTTACAAAAATGGTCTTTTAAACTTAATTTGAAGCTACAATTAAGTATAAAGATTTTTTAATATCTACATTTTTAATTATTGGTTCAAAGTAAATTAAAAAGTAAATTAAAAAGGCCGTTTTTCTTAAAAATTGCACCAGAATTCACCCGAAATACCCGAGCGTTTCAACAAGTGATAGTGCTTTTCTTTTACAGCTTAGCATAGCTATTTTTGCTTATTTAGCTCGTATAGAGGCCAAAAAAAACTTTCATTAAATTTTGTTTATGAACTGCCTTTTATGTCCTAACAAAAAAAGAAAATTCTTGTAAAATTTTAGTACATAAATATAATATAACCTACCTAATCATAACACTAACTTATCTTAAAGAGCTGTTACGTATAATGGCTTATACTACAACCTTCCTTATTCGATTTTCGCAATTTGATTGGCTAAAAACTCACTACACGGAATCATTATTAGTTATATAATATATAATATATAATTACAATATTAACAATAATCAATCTTCTTAGTTGTAATTAGTTAATCGGATTATCCGATTAAAAAAGCCGATTTCTGGACACTTTAACTTGAATGCAAGTTTTAACTGGTCTTTATTAGGTTGTCAAGACTATCACAGGTTGAATCAATGAATATCGGGTGCATACCGGGAGAAATGTTTCCCGTTAGTCTGCCATAGATCCGCCAAATGCCTGCAGCA